ATGTGGCTGCTCCCTGTGCCTCTGTGTTCTCACCTGTCAGACCAAACAGTGACACAAACTCACCTGAGGTCAGAGAGCTGTGACCCAGTCACGTGCAATCTCCTCTCATCCAGAGTGTGCGCGCCATTTCTGGCCAAACTAGAAGCACACTTAATAGTTAAAACTTATCCAATACACATCCATGTACCTGCTCCATCCTCCTTTATTCTCTCGGGGAGGAGTTCACACATGAGATAAAGGATGAATGAACCCATGACCAGGCCTCCCACCTGTGAGTCTCCATATTCGTGGGGTCCCAGAGAGCAGACAGGAGGGGCAGGCGGGTGAGGAGCCAAAAATGAGGGTGGGAGCCAGGACGCCCCCCTAAGGCACATGACCTGCAGAGCCCAAGGCCCACAATCCACTGCTCACACTCGACTGAACATACAGTCTGTCAGGTCATCGGGTGTCCCATGACACTCACACACGTTTAAGGTCCACCATGGGAACAATAAAAGATAATATTCATTTCTTGAGCCCCAAGTCCCACAGAGGAGCTTGGGCAGGGGGTTGGGCGGAGGTCAGGAAGGAAAAGGGAAGGGTTTTATTCTCTGTGTGAATGAACACAGGATTGCACACTGTGACGGGGGGAAGGAAACTGGGAAATGATTGTCTGAGGGCATATGGGCTGGTCTAGCCTTTATTCTGTTCCAAAATGTCACCCATGCCCCTCACAGCTACGCACATAGGATGCCCTGTTCCTCCTTCACTTGTACAATCAGCACCACAACCAGTTTCCTATCCATCCTGAGATGACAACACACAGTCAACCGCCTACAATTTCACCGCATCTACACAGACATCACAATCTCACATTTGTCACAAAAATAGGACGAGTCAGAAAGTACAGTCAGTAAAGTCTTATTTAAAATATGAACAAATGTTAGGACACCGACGAAAATCCTAAGAAGAAACACAGGACCCAGAAATGCAGAACAGCGCACACATGATAGAAAGGAAGTTCCTGATGAAGGAGCCGTGACACCTTCCACGGGCCACTGTGAGGCCTGAGGAGCCATGCTGTGTCCGAGTCCATCGCATCAGATCTCCGGGGACCTGCACATGCAGCTCAGGACCTGAAAGGTCTGGTGGAAAGTCCTCCTTTGAACTTGCCCCTGAGTGTGTTCCAGGGAAATTCCCTGAGCAGCCCTGTGAGTCCTCGTGACCAGAGGAAGGTGTCCCTGGGCTGTGATGTCGGACATGAGGGTCACTGTGCACTGACTTTTGCACCATCTTCACTGGAGGGGACACTAATCAGTCTGTCCTGTGTGTCCATGATGGCGCCTCCCACAGACGGGACTCCTCCTGGGAGGGAGGCGCTGCAGGGAGGCTCCAGGGCATCAGAGTCACAGGCCCTGGGACCAGGCCAGGATGTGTGGCCAGAGACAGTCCCCTCTGAGCTGCAGGTGTGCATGGCAGCCCCTCCCCTGGCAGAGGGTGGGGGAGAAAAGGAGGCCTGGGCAGCCCAGCCCCACTGTGGGCTCAGGGCTGTGAGCACCATGGCCTGGACTCCTCTGCTCCTCGCGCTCCTCTCTCACTGCACAGGTAGGGACAGGCCTGGGACCCGGCTTCTTCCCTTCCTGCTCAGGCTCCTGGGAAACGTCCCCTGGTCCCTGCCCATCACTGACAAGTGTCTGTGTCTGCAGGGTCCCTCTCCCAGTTTGCTGTGAGTCAACCGCCGTCCCTGTCTGCATCTCCGGGAGCCAGAGCCACACTCACCTGCACCCTGAGTGGTGTTTCCGATATTAGTGGCTACTGGATAAACTGGTACCAGCAGAAGCCAGGGAGCCCTCCCCGGTTTCTCCTGAATTTTAAATCAGACTCAGATAAGAACCAGGGCTCTGGGGTCCCCAGCCGCTTCTCTGGATCCAAAGACACCTCGGCCAAAGCAAGACTCCTGACCATCTCGGGGCTGCAGCATGAGGACGAGGCTGACTATTACTGTGCTACATTCCATGGCAGTGGGAGCAGCTTTCATTGCACACAGTGTCTCAGATGATGAGGAAGTGAGACCAAAACCCCTGGGTCCAGAAGTGAGGGCTGCTCGCACTTAGGGTGTCAATCCCAGGAGCACACGCAGCGTCCCCTCATCAGCAAAAGGCCCACCTGTCCCCCAAGGAGTGACAAGGGTTCAGGAGCCTTGTCCGAGGCCAGAGGCCGAGACCAGCATATGTTTCCTATCAGCTCACATCCTGTGTCTGCACCTGCACATGGTCCCCAGACAACCATGCTCCCCACAGATTAAAGTCATGTGTGTGAACCCTGTGTCGCTACTGACCCATCATGTCTGATATGTTAGTGTTCACCTGGTCATGGGCACAACCTTCTCCTTCTCTAATCAAATCCATAGAAGGTTGGTCACAACCAGCACAGACGCTCAGTGACACCCTCCCTCTCCCTCTTCCCTCCTCTGCTGCTGCCTCCCTCACCTCCTCCTCTCTCTTGGGCTCCTCAGGTCCTAGGTCAGGGTCCATCCTCACTGAGGGTTTCAGGGAAAAGTGACACTTCCTGCTGTCATTGAAAAATTAAGAAATATTTAATGTAAAAAAAGGAGAAGAGATAACATTGCCTGGAATAATTTGCTCTTTTAACTTCCAGTCCATCCTAAATGGATGGTGGGTTTCTTAGGCAACAGCTCACTTCTCCAACATCGTTCCATTTGCTTCTGATTTATTTACTGAATTATTCCCCTTAAGATATCAGTGTCTACAGCACACTGAATATATTAACATTAGTCACATTAGCCTCTAGCCGGTGTTGCTCAGTGGATAGAGTGTTGGCCCGTTGACCAAAGGTTCCTGGGTTTGATTCTGGTCAAGGGCAGGTACATCCGTTGCAGGCTCCTCCTTGGCCCAGATTCTGGTTGGCACCTGCAGGAGGCAACCAATCGAAGTCTCTCTCTCACCTTGATGTTTCTCTCTGTCTCTCCCTCTCCCATCCACTCGCCCTAAACATCAATGGAAGAATACCCTCGGGTGAGGATTAACAAACACACACAAATCTGAGTCCCATGGGAAGTGGTGGCAGCTCTGGCCACACAGGCTTTTAAATCCCTGTGATCAGCCAGCGGCCAGGGCAGAGGACAGGAAGTCAGAGCCATGGAACAGGCCAGAGTGTGACCGCGGCAGGAGGGGCAGGAGCCGGGGGCTATCTAGGGGCTAAGGGAGGCCCCATACGGGAATGTCAGGGCACCGCCAGCTCGGGACTGAGCTCTGTGCTCACAGAGGGACCTGCGGCCCAGAGGCTTGTGAGCAGAAGCTCCTGCCCCCCCCTCCCGACAGGGGCCGGCCCAGCAGTGGCCTCTCCCAGGCTGCTCCCAGGGGACAGCGGGACCAGCTGTCCGCCTCCTCCAACCACAGAGGGAGCCCAGGCCTTATGACTGCGCAGGGAGAGGGGCGGCCAGAAGGAAGTGGGGCCAGACCTCCACGACCAGCCCTTTCCTGGGCAGGGCTGCCAGTGGGGCGCAGGGCTGCCCGAGTCCACTCTGGGCTCAGCTGTGCCCCTGGCCTGCACCCTCTCCTCCTGCTTCCCTCTCACTCCCCAAGGGCTGACCTGCGCCCTGTGTCCCCCAGGGGGCGCTGTGGTAGAAGCCCCTGCTGGCTGCTCCCCAGTAGCTCAGCTGGGCCCCGCCCCACCCCGCCCCCAGCCTCTGGCAGGGCTTCTGTGGGAATAGGCCCATCTCAGGCTTTGGTCTCTGGTGGAACCAAGGCCAAGTGTGAAGGAGGAGCTGAGCCGCCTGCAGACAGGGCAGATTTGCATGGAGCCTCCCCCTGGGGATCAGGGCTCATAAGAAGGTGAGGGCTCAGCCTGGCTGTGCAGCTCAGGGAGCAGAGTGTGGGGCGTGTGCACCATGGATTGGGCTCCCCTTCTCCTCGCCCTCCTGGCTCACTGCACAGGTGGTGCCTGAGGGGGGCCTGGGGGGGGCACCTGACTGTCACCTGGGAGCATGATCTCTCCCTCCCTCCCTGGGCCAGGGGTCTGTGCTGTCCCCTCTGATGTGTGTGTTGCCCCCTCCTTGCAGGGTCCTGGGCGGAGGTTGTATTTACTCAGCCCCCCTCTGTGTCGGGGTCTCCGGGACAGAAGGCCATCATCTCCTGCACCCGCAGCAGCGGCAACATTGGGAACAACTATGTGTCCTGGTTCCAGCAGCGCCCGGGCAGGGCCCCCACCCTTATGATCTATGAAGATGACAAAAGACCCTCGGGGGTCCCCGATCGGTTCTCTGGCTCCATCGACAGCTCCTCCAACGCCGCCCACCTGACCATCTCGGGGCTGCAGCCTGAGGACGAGGCCGACTACTACTGTCTGTCTGGTTATGACAGCTATAAGCACAGTGACTCAGGCCCATGGGGAAGTGAGACAAAAACTCCCCAGAGCCCACTGTCCTGGGCTGCTCTCCTCCCACATCCACCGGGAGCGGGCTCTCTCCTGTCTCTGCTGCCATGCTAGAGTGAAATGTCTTGAGTTCCTCTATTTTAGTTCCATAATGTGAACATGTCCTCCCCTGTGTTGACGGACGGTCTCCTGATGGCTTTGCACTCACCTCCCGGAGGCGAGTTAGTGAGAACGGGGTTTCTGAGCCCTCACTCCTGCGGGGGAAGAGGTCATGTGCATGTGGGGTGTCTAGAAGCATCCTAGAGCTCCCCCCTCAGGAGCCAGTAGCGCCCTCTTCTCTAAGTCATGGCCGACACGTACCCCTGCAGACATCTCCCAGTCCCCCTCCCACCGCGGCAGGGGAACCACCCGGGTCTGAGAACCGAGTAGTGAACAGGAAAAGTGCTCAGCGACTAGGAGGCCTGTGGCTTTGACTCCTGTTCACGCCATTGAGCTGGACAAAGGGGCCGAGAGGTGACATCTGTCTGTGCTTCTGTCCTCCCATCTGTCAGACAAACAACCACATCGAACTCGCGTGAGGTCAGAAAACCCGGGACCCAGCTACACGGACTCTCCTCTGACCAGAGTGTGGAGCATCTCCCAGTCCCCCTCCCACCGCGGCAGGGGAACCACCCGGGTCTGAGAACCGCCAAGTGAACAGGAAAAGTGCTCAGCGACTAGGAGGCCTGTGGCTTTGACTCCTGTTCACGCCATTGAGCTGGACAAAGGGGCCGAGAGGTGACATCTGTCTGTGCTTCTGTCCTCCCATCTGTCAGACAAACAACCACATCGAACTCGCGTGAGGTCAGAAAACCCGGGACCCAGCTACACGGACTCTCCTCTGACCAGAGTGTGGAGCACACTTTCTGTCCAGACCAGGTGTGCAGTTAATGTTTAACCGTTAACAAAGCCCATGAACGTATAAGAGACCTCCCTTCATTGCTTCCCTCCGTGAGGGGTTGTTCAAAGCTGCGATGCAAAGAGGAAGAAAACCATGACAAAGTTCTACACTCTCTCCGTTCCCGTTGCAGACGGCGTGACCCAAAGAACAGCAGCTCAGGGGAGTGCAGGCCAACGTACCCCTGGAGCCTGGAGCAGCCCGACTCCATCCAGCCTCCTTCTTCTATGCAGGAGGGGGGCGAATTCCCGCTCTGGGCAGGTTCTATGGCTCATCCCACAGTCTGTAAACAGAGAGAGTTGTGCCCGGAAGCCTGCCTGCTCAGGGAAGAGCACTTTGAACAATGGGCTAAGCCAGTGGTTCTTAACCTTCTGGCCCTTTAAATAGGCCTTGATTGGTTCCCCTTGCTGGGGTCGGGGTGGGGTCTCTGTGGACAAGGTGTGAGGAAGGCTGGTTCCTCTCTGGGAAAAAACCCAGGGAGAGGGGCGGCCAGAAGGAAGTGGGGCCAGACCTCCACGACCAGCCCTTTCCTGGGCAGGGCTGCCAGTGGGGCGCAGGGCTGCCCGAGTCCACTCTGGGCTCAGCTGTGCCCCTGGCCTGCACCCTCTCCTCCTGCTTCCCTCTCACTCCCCAAGGGCTGCTCCTGGCCTCTCCTCTCTCACCTGGAGGAATTCCCGCCTGGGGCAGCAGGGGGCGCTTCAGGGCAGCTCTGGAAAGGGTCTGTTGGGTATTCTCTCAGCTGCAAAAGTGAGCTTGGGTCTCACTTCCCCATGGTCCTGAATCACTGTGCTAATCCAGCCACCTGTTCCTAGTCTGGGTTCCTCTGCCAGGCGCCCCTGTGACCTTAGGGAGTCCCAGACCAGGTCGGTCTCCGCCGCCTCCCTTCACAGGACCCCAAAGAGCCGATGCCATCCGGGGAAAAAAGAACAAAGCCAGAGCTGTCATTTACAAATTACACTGACTTCAAATTACACTACACGGCAAGGATATTCAGAACAACATGGTACTGACCAAAAAGGAAAAGAAAAGAAGCAGACACACAGGCCAATGGAACAGGGCGGAGAGCCCAGAATAATAAACGCACGTGTTTACGGGCAAATGCTTCTTGACTAAGGAGCAAAACACATACAACGCAGAGAAGAAAGCCTCTCCCACCAGTGGTGCTGGGATAACGGGGAAGCCACAGGCCAGAGGATGAAGCCAGATTACCGCTGTCCTCATGTTCAAAAATTACCTCACACAGACCTATAGTAACAATAAATTACATAGAACAAAACATAGATGCTAAGCTTATGGATCTCAGAGAAGATTTTATGAATTCAACCCATAGGGAGGGGAAGGAAAGGCAAAAATATAAGACTGGGACTACATCAAACTAAAAGGCTTCTGCACAGGAAGAGACACCCCCAAAAGGAGGTGACTGCAGCATTTAAAAAACAAAACAACACCATTCATAGTTATATAACTGAGAAATGATAAAGGGTGCGTCTGAGAAAAATAAAGCATTGAACATGGAAAGCTGTAAAACGTTGCAAGAGAAAGGAAAGAAAACTCAAATAAACAGGTATTCATAAATTGTGGATAGAAACACTGGATTTCATTATGATATTGATTCTTCTGAAATTTATTGATCAAGAGCTGGTGCCAACCACTTCCATTTTCATGATACAAAAACATGAAAATAACACAAGATATTATTCACAAATAAACAAATAAAAACTCTGAAG